AAAAAATAATAATTAATTAAAATAAAAAAATATGATACATTTTTTTTTAAAAAAATATGGCAAGTTTGTATTCCTCCAAAATTCCCCCCAAAGGGGTATATACAAATTATACCCAGGCATCCCTAAGAAAAACAATCTTCTTTTCATTGTTCTAACTGTTATAATTTATAACGATGAACTACAATTTGAATCATTTCCTCCCTTTCTTTCCTAATACTAGAAAACAATCTGCTATTTCTCTCACTTCATATAAAATAAACAGTAACTGCAAAGAGAGTTTTAAGTTGCTTCACTGCCTTACTTCTTCCTTTACATCTTCTTAATATTGGCTTCCAATCCCAGCTCTTTTGCCCAGCACAACAGCTCAAGCCTGTATGCAGTAAAACTTCATTCCAGATATGTCTTAACAACCTGCATTGGAAAAATAAATGGTGGACATCCTCCTGTCCATCCTCACAAAATAGGTAATTCCTATCAATTAACATGACTCTATTACATAGCAAAGTTTTTGTTTTTAGCCTTTACTTCCCCAACAGCCATAACGTAAAGCTTTGACATGGTAAAATACAATTTGCCCAAATATTAGAACACCATTTTACTTTACCACTTCTTGCTCTCAACAATTCATAACAATCTGATATAGAAAAAATACAAGGTTCACCATTTGCTCTTATCCAAATTGCACAATCTTGGCGTCTTTGGAGTTGTACACGTTGAATACTTCCTGCAATCCCTGGATGTCTTCTCTTGAAGCTCATAGGAACATTCCACTCACTTTGTGGTACCCATTGTGCCACTATCAAATTTGGACCCCATGTTGAAATCTCATTGGTTAGTCCCTCCAGCTCAACTAACCTTCCAATCTCCATCCAACAGTCATAGAATAAAGAAGTTTGGCGCTCATCACCCACCTTCATCACTATATTTTGTTTTTTGTTTTTTTTTTTGGAACATTTTAACATGAGGTAGATTCGAAATCACTTAAGAGAAGGGGAATACACCTATTCAATGACCAATGTCATTGGGTCTCTAGAACCAGGTGCCGTAACTATATTTTGTTTTAAGAGAGGCCTCAGCTGAAAATTTGATATTAACATATTTGAGAGTGTGATAATAATATTGCTCGATTTCAAGATCTTTCTATTCTTACTGTATATATTCAGGCATTTCAATCTTTTGTCTTCATCTTCTTTCCTTGTACCTTCCTCAATTTAATTTGACCTGATTGCAAATCTGTGTGTGGAGAGAAGTTGATGTGTTGATGGGCTGAAATTCCCCCGCTTTCCTCAATTTCTCATAAAAAATAAATGAGATTTGATATAAATAAAAATATTATTTATAAAAAAAATTTAATTAAAAATATAACTTTGGTAACCTATTTTCATTTTAAAAAATTTAAAACAGAGCAACTTTAATTAATAAGAATAAGATTATATTTTTAATTAAAAAAATATAAAAAATTATATTATTATTTATATCGAATTATAAAAATAAAATAAAATCCCTTCCACAGGAACAGGAATGGTCAAACTTTCCTCTCTAATATATGCGATGATAAGCTGATCCAAACGAGTCACTCATAATGTAATGGGTGCGAGGACAATAGGAGTTATTTTGGATGTTCTACCTTATAAAACATATGTTTCTAATTCACACCATTTTAAGTAATGATTTTTTTTTTTTAAAAAAAAAAGAAAAAATGATAGATGTTTATTATTTTATTTTTAAATTAAAATTTTGAAGGTAATTTATGCTTTTATTTATATTACTTCTAAAATAATAAATAATTTTTTTAAACTGTGCATTACTGCATTTAGTATATATGTTAAGAGTGTAATTAATTTATTTTTTAAATATTAAATTATATAAAAATTGATATTAATTTTAATATCAATGTCACGTGTTTTAGTTTAATTAATTATGTGTGTCGGTGTTTGAATTCGAAGTGGATGAAGCTTTTTGCTCTCCTCCTGCTGGTATGTTTGTAATATACGAAGTTAATTAATCTTGAATTCACAGTTAGTCACACAAAGTTCTCTCTTTTATGATGTAGACATTTTTTCTCAAAATGTCTCTGAAATTTGTTTGGGTATTTCATCCTCTAGAGATTCTAGTCCAAGAGGTAATGAGTGTACTAGCTGTACTCACCCTTCGGGTGAAGGAAAGAAGTCTAAGGAAGTGCCGCATCATGATCTAGAATGCATTGTTGTTGGAGAGATTGATAAGGATGCAAACAACCCGAATGTGCAATAAAAAACTTGCCTGTCTTGTATTCCTTTGACTATCCCTACAGTTGAGGGAAAACGATGAGTAAGCCCAGTTACATCGAGGTCAAGGAGGAAAGTGGCTCCAAGATGCTCTGTTGAATCAAGGGGGACATTTTAATCCAACATTTGGTGAGTGTTTCTACTGTTTCTTTATAATCCTGAGCTTGTAAAAGTGATTGTAGCAGGAGAATAGTTTCAGTTATATTAATATTAGAATCTTGGCTAAATGATTGCAGTTATCAGTTCAGTTTTTGCTTGCTTGATATAATGATGCTTTTATATTTTGCTTCCAATCATGGTCTTACTTAACATTTTATTGATCACTGTCTCATTTTATCTTAGTTTACCGTAAGGTGTATCTGCAAAGACCTGTAGCAGGTTCCTCAGTACCATATTGTCCTTCAGAAAAGAAAATGCCTGATTGCTGGTCTCATATCGAGCCAAGTTCTTTCAAGGTTCGAGGGGGGAGCTACATTAGGTAGGAGCACAGTTGCTTCTTTGAGGGCTTATATTTTCGCTTATGTGCATGCTACATGGGTGGTCTATAGTAATACTAATCTTTAAACTTCTGGAATTCATTTTCCTCTACTCTGTTGAAGTTGATCTTCAAAGCTACATAAATCTAGTGTTTTTGAGTCTCTTATTTCTTTTGACAGGGATAAAAAAATGGAATTTGCTCCAAATTGTGCTGCATATTATCCCTTTGGGGTTGATGTCTTCTTATCTCACCGGAAAATCAATCACATTGCCCGTTTTGTGCATCTTCCTGCACTAAATTTATCTGAAGAAGCTCCTTCTGTTCTTGTTGTAAATATTCACGTATTTTAGTCTTTTATCCCATCGTCTTTTCTATGTAGTTTCCTTGTTGTTCCCTTTCTTTATTGTGATTCTGATTGCAACTGTGAATCTGTGTATAAAGAGGTGTTGATATGCTTATAGGTTAAATCTTTCTTTCCACAAGAATAGAATCAGATTAGACATCTTAATTATCAGACTATCCCCACTGAAATCTGAATATTTTTGACAGTGACCTTTTTTTTTAACCTGTAGATGCCATCATACCCTGTCACGTTATTTCAAAGTGAAAATGATGGAGAAGGAATAAATTTGGTTTTATACTTTAAGCTATCTGAAAGTTACTCAAAGGAGCTTCCATCTCATTTCCAGGAAAATATCATTGTAGGATGAACGCATCTCCAGCTTTCTGTTCTAGATTTCTGCAAGATTTCAGCTTGTAAAGTCTCTTGTTAAACTTTCATTCACATGGCTTTTGCCTCTTTATATTTATCCAATGCGTCCTTGCTATATTTCTCTACTTTATTTGAAAATTTAACAGTTAATTACTTAATTCATGTTTTCTTTCCGTATTTTTCTCATTGACAGAGGTTAATCAGCAATGGGATGGAAGGAAGCAAGGGCTTGTTTGCAGATAACATCACACTTTCATAGAAAGATTGAAAATCTTGGGCCAAGTGGAAAATTTAAATGATCTTCCTTTAAGCAAAACAGAAAAGAAGCTTATGAATGTTTATAATGACAAACCTGTTCTTTCACGCCCTCAGGTTGAATTTTACTAGGTAACTTACCTTCTTATGAACTTAAATAGATCTTTCTATGCTATTTTTATCCTTGTCAAACTTCAATTGATTTTGTTAGTCTTTATTTGCTTGACAAGAAAATTTCTTCTTTCCTAAGAAAAGCAAAGTATTATACTGTGAAAAGAATTGGGATTAGAGATTATTTATTTTTGTATAATGATGGAATGCAATGGGCCAAATGATTTTACATTGTGGATTATGATATGGAATGATTTACAGTCACTGAGATGCTAGTCTGAACTCCTGCAGGGGGAGAATTATTTTGAGATTGATTTGGATTTGCATAGATTTAGCTTTGTAGCTAGAAAAGGTTTCGAAACTTTCGGGGACAAATTTAACCTATGTATATTGGATTTTGGCCTGACGATTCAGGTAATGCTCCATTAACACAAAACGTATATGTCTACCTTCTGATATACCTGCCTTACATTATATTGTCATCTTGGAACAGGGAAACAAGGCAGAAGACTTGCCTGAGAATATGCTATGCTGTATTGGATTGAATGAGGTCGATTACAGTAATCATAAACAACTGGAGTTTTGACTATCAATCCTATATTTATCTTGGGAGGTGCAAGGATGTTAGTTTAGAAGTCATTGCAGTAATCTCCAATTTTGACATTTAGTTATTTTATACAGATACAGATCACAGAAAAGAAATCAAAATGCAAAAATACCATTTTTTGTAAACCTAAAGGGAACGTCAATAACAAAACTTTCATAGAATCCAAAAGAGAGGAAGATGCTGCACATCAAGGATGTATATATATACAGACAGACAGGTACTTGGAAGATGGTGGGGGCAGATGGAGGGGATTGAATGATTTTACTGAGTTGCAGAGGAGCCCATGCACCGTCTAAAAAGCGCAGAGAAGCCGCATCGTGGAGTGGTCTTGGCCGGCGATTCAGAGCATGGAGAAGAGAGTGTTCGTTCCGGAACATGAATGTGTTGCGGTGGAGAATTTTGCTCGTCCGGAGCCAGAAGAAGTACATCCGGACGTGGGTGTGGTGGGTCTGGAGATTTTCCAAACAGCGGTCCAGAGTTGGGATCGTGGGGTAAGTGGTCGTCCCATACGCGGCCGGAGGAGCCTTGTCGGCGGAAGGAAACAGAGGATCTCTGTAATGTTGTCATTTGATGAGATTTTTTTTTTTTTTTTTTTGTCTCTCTGCGTGCGATTTGTTTATGCTTAAGCGGTTTTAACTGACATAACGGTTTTCTGTTTGGGGCTCTTTTCGTCTTTTTGACATTTGTAGATTATCTTTTTATTATTTAATTTGGCAGATAGATTTGTTGAATACCATGTGAAATTGAATAACATTTTATCTATAAAAATGCAATGGCTAATAAGATCTTAACACGTAGTTGTGCTGATAAAAAATAATACTAGTAGATATTATCATAATCATTAATAATACCAACGACAGGTTGGATCAAGTGGCAAGCGGTTTGTTCCAACTTAAACAAGATCTCAAGTTCGAAATTTTGTGTATGCAGCAACCTTCGTTGGGAGACTCACCCACCATTCTGATGCGCCATAGTTAGTCAAGTCCGGAGTAGTCGGGGCGAAACTCCGGATACCGAGCAGGGAACCAAAAAAAATAATCATTAATAATATAAAATTTGTTGTAGTAGAGTTATGATTTATTTATATTATTTATACAAAATTTTAATTATTTATTCTTTTATTATAGTTCAAGTTAAAATTTTTTATTTTTTATTTTATTTTTTTAGAGATAATTGTGTTTTTTATTAAAAAATTATTATAAATCTCAATTATTTTTTTTTTTTTCGGTTTCCCGCCCGGTTTCTGGGGCTTCACCCTGACTACTCCGGACCCGACCGCGTCGCGCACCTGGAAATGGTGGATGAGTCTCCCAGCAAGGACAGCTGCGTTCACAAGGTCTCGAACTTGAGACCTTGCTTAAGCTGGAACAAACCGCTTACCACTTGATCCAATCCCTCATTGGTAAATCTCAATTAATATTAATTATTGCATTTTCATTGCTAATCTAAATAGGAGGTGAACAACACACATAAAAGAGAAATGATTAAAAACATACTTATGTTAGTAGTAGTATTAATTTCATGCTCATCTAATTTTCAATTGCATAGGTCTTTTGCCACAGAAATACTCAGTAATCAAAGGAACCGTAATGGAGTTCAGGAAACTGGGAACACATCTCACTGTCCCTTTCCAAGATGGCATCCACAAACGAACTTGCAGACGATGAAGAAGAAGAAGCCGCACAATCATATGAAACATTGTTGTTTCCGCCATTGAACTTGCACTCTGTTGTTTCTTGCTGCTTCAAAGCTCCGGGAACCTCCGGTTGTTGCTGGAGATTTGCAGGCAGGGGAGGATCATTGAGCAGGAACTCACTCCAGCTGAAGGAAGAAGAAAGGGAGATCTGGTGAGGCTGATGGAGTTGGAAGGAGGACTCCGGCGGCGAGCTCAGCTGTGGGAAAGTGGGGGAAGAAGAGGATGAAGAAGATGAATTGACTTCATTGAAGAAATTTTGCGAGTCTTGGTTGGAGATTTGAAGCTGAGCCAGGAAATCCCATGGAGGGTTGCTAATAACGTCAGATGGGTAGTTTTCCTGAAACAGAGTAGTTCTTGAAGATGATGGTTCATGTGATCTGGACATGACCAATGTGTTGTTGTTCAGGTTCTTACCAAAGGAATCCGTTGGGTTTCCGGTGACCGGAAGGACACAGCTGAGGTTCCCATAATCGGAGATGACCTGAGACATGGGCTTATGGGTGACAGGATCAATTCCCATCTTGCAAAGCTTCTTCTTCAGCTTGGTGTTCCAGTAATTTTTGACATCATTATCTGTTCTTCCTGGCAGGTGCTTTGCAATGCAGGACCATCTGCATCATGTCATCAAGCAAATAAGTTTCTTTTACACCTAATAGAGTTTTGGAACAATAATTAAAGGCCAAATTGACATCCTTAAAAGTTGTGCCGATGATTAGAATACGGTTGAAATTTTAAAAAGTTTCAAGTTCAAATTATACACACAATATATATGAAAATATATAAATAAATAAAACTTCTTTTCCAAACCAATAGGTGTGTTTGTGTGTGAGTGTCTAAATACGAGTCTTATGTGTGAGAAAGAGGAGATAGAGATCACTGATTTTGCATAAACAGAAACAACTGGCTGTTAAGACCGTTGTGAAACATCTAGAGGGAAGTTGGTTAGCTATGACAAAAAGAACTTCTAGAAATGCATGCAAAAGGATAGTATATATAGAAATGATCAAAATTTTCTTGCTTTTCCCTTCTATTTTCTTGGGAAAATCAGGACATTTCTGCAACATATGAAAGATAAAAGCTGAAAATTTACCTGCTACCAATGAGTTTATGAAGATTAATGATGGTTTCTTCCTCTTGAGGAGTGAAGTTGTCATGTTTGAGATCAGGCCTCAGATAATTAGTCCACCTGAGCCTGCAGCTCTTCCCACATCTGTTTAGTCCTGTACAATTGAGATATGTACATTTACCTTGATAATCTCCACAAGCATAAAAGTTTATATTTTAAAAAAAATGTTAAAAACTCATGTAAATAATCATGAAAAGAAGAAAGTAAAAAAACCTGCTTTCTTTGGGACCAAAGTCCAGTTGCCAATTCCATGGTTGGAGACGTATGCAAGGATCTTGGCATCTTCCTCTGCAGTCCAGAGGCCCTTCTTCACGTTTGATTTGTCACAACAGGGAGGTCTTCCCATGGAGAGAGGTAGCACCGAGCGCGGAAGAGGAATGGGAGGGGAAGGGGAAATTGTGTAATGGTGATGCAATTTGTTAGGATGTGTAAGAGTATTGAAGGGAAGAAATGGAGGGTATTAACAAGTGAGGAGGCAACAAAAGCATGCAGATGGCTCCCAATTAGCAGCCAATATTGCATGATTTATTTTTTCAGCTTCTTTAAGATGAAAACCATTTGACATGACATCACATTATAATTCACGCTCCCTCTCCTCACACACATGCTTTGGCTAAATAAGCAGTTTATTTTGAATGGCTAAGTAAGTTTTTTTCACCTCCAATCCTCATGGTGATGATGCACTCTTTGTTTTCTTCTATCATTATTATTATGGTACGACACGAGTTTTTCAATACAAACTGCATATTTTTATTAAGTTTGAACATTAAAATTATTAAAACATTAATAATAAATAAATATAAAAAAATTATTAAAAATATTTTAGTAATTTCAATATTTAATCTATACAAAAAGTACAGTCCTCTTTGTTATAGTATTATTAAAAAATAAAAAAGAAAACCAACAATGTCTCAAACCTCGGTAAAAATAGCTTCCTTACACTGGGATCATAAAATTGAATATGATTGCTGTATCTTTTTATTTCTCTGGGTCAAGCATAACAATGGAAGTATATAGACCTCATCTGAAAATCAAGTCCTAAGAAGAGCACATCTTACAACTTTTTCCTACATATCCATAAGATTCTTCTTTCTCTGGGTCAAGCATAACCATGGAAGTATATAGACCTCATCTGAAAATCAAGTCCTAAGAAGAACACACCTTACAACTTTTCCTACAGTATCCGTAAGATTCTTGAGAACCCACCATGTAAATAGGGTTCTTTTCACACTCGCCCACCTTTGCCCACTTTGGGCAGTTCTCGTTCTCATCAACACACTCCCCCTTCGCTGGGCGTGTCACTCTTTTATCAAAGGACCTGACATGTATCCACTTGGTTGCAGACCATTTCTCACCCTTGATCACCGGGCAGCTCCCATGCAAGCTGTAATTATCTGTAGTTGCATCAGGATGAAGACTGAAGAACAGCAATGCATCACCTTTTCTGGGTTTTACTGCAAGTTCACAGCATTATTTTATCAGTTACCAAGAATGATATCTATACTTTTATTGCACAGACAAGAGCATAACGAAAGAGGAGAATCGTAATAAAATTGGCTCCACAGAGTTACAATACCATTTATGTTCAAGCAGGATTCGGGAATGACCAAACAGTAAAGGTAATCCTTTAATCAACTAGAAATGATTGAAAGCTTAGGATCTAATCCGGGCAATAGTAATCAAACTAATTAACTAAAATGTAGTCCCTGGAAATGGGTACTTAGCATACTCACAAGTATGTTAATTCCCTGTTTCTAGTTTTTATTCCTTTTGTCAAACCCAGTTCTGACGATAAATACAGATAAGATGGAGAAATGGTTGCCAGATTTCTTGCAACTTACAAAGATCCTCTTGCCCATGGTTGATAAAGGAAAAATAAGATAGAATTGATCACAAAATTCCCTACGACAATACATTTTCAATGTGTATATCTTATTTCAATCTTCTAGTAAAATTTGGATAAAAGGGTGTCAGCATGACTTCCCAAAAAAAAAAGAAAAAAAGAAAGGGAGATGAAATTACAACCATAAATATAAATTCTTTGAGACTACATCTACGAAGTTATACCTGCATGGCCTTTTTTAGCACATTCAGACCAGGTGTCATCCTTTTGCTGAGTGAACTTTTCCTGAAGAGACATAAGACAAGTGGCAAACAAAGAAAAAGAAGGTGACAGTCCAATAATGAGAGAATAGGACAAAAGAGTAATCAAAAAAGATAAAAAAAAAAAAAATCCATAACCACCAAAGAATCAGATTCAGAAGCAACCTCTGAGTTGGGAAAGACTGTTTCTCCACCACTTTCAACATCAGACAAATACATGAGTACAGTGGCAACACGGTGACCACCCAGCTCTTGATTAGCCTTATCATGGAAAAAGTCAAAATGTGGCTCATACTTCTCACCATGCTTATAGTGCAGTATTTGAATGGACTCTCCATTCTCTGAATGTAACAACAGGTTCAAGAAAGATTAGCTACTCTTCCCAAAGAAGTAGGAAGTTAAATTATCAGCAACAAGCATATAGCAGATATACCTTCTGGAAGAAATGTCCATGCAGAAATCCGGGCTTCAATATCAGCAACTACCTCATCCTTCACAGATGAAACAAGGGGCACCATGTGAGCCTTCCAACTTGAAATGGATATATGAATTGCACAATAAGCACATTCCCATAAATCAGACAAATTCTAAACAATATGAAATGAACACCTAACGAAAGATATAACCTCTCTCCATATCAAACATGTCAAAAAGGCAGAATGTATTTTTCTAATAAAAGTGAAGCAAAGACTAGCTCCTTTAATATGCAGAAATGACAATAAGATGTGAAAGGGTATGGTGGGACGAGGAAGAGAACAGAAAAGGCCATAGCATTGAGCACAATGTAACCATATTACTTAGAGATACCTAAAATTTTGATTACCATGTCAAGATGAAACCAGCCAGGCTTAACAAAGACTTGACTACAGCTTATCTTGACAGACAATTACGGATACAGAATAGTAATTGAAGTCCATCAAATATTTTAATTTTCTAGTATGCTAGATTATATTACACAGATTTATCTCACTATCAACCAAAAGCCATAAAGATAGAACCTTTATGGGAGTTTCTTCGGTGCCCAAATATACCATTCAACTAACAAGTTAACCATCACTGAACTTGCTGTCTCTTGTAGTTATTTTCTATTTACACATAAAAAATACAATGATTCTAACCAAGCAAGTTCTCAGCAAAGCACAATTATCATATCTCAAGGAAGGAAACCTCTAGCAATCCAAAATTACAATAACAATATTAAAGTGTGTAAACCACATGTACCCAAAAGCTCAACTAAGAAACTTGATCTACGCTACCCTGGTCTGTTGAGCTTAGACCACGGACTATTTCCCACAAATACCAAACAGAAAATAAGTTTACACTGTCATGCAGACCTGATGTTTTGAAAGAAACATGCCAGAGCTGGTGCGGACTTCACTCTCAACGCTTTCACCTGAATCATTATCCGCTACCATTGACTTCTGTAGCTTATCCTTTGCCTAGTATCCAAAATCCGCAAAGAAAAAAAAGGGGGAGTGGGGTAAGATCTTCCTAATTTCTTAAATTTCATACAAATTACCCCCAAAATGAAAGGAAATAATAGGTTCCTAACCAGATCAATCAGATGGTCACACTCCTCAGGTGATAGAAATCCCTTGTATATAAACGCCCTACAAAATCAAATTCTCAAAGAAAATCCAACTCATACCACTAAAAATCCTAAAAATTGCAATTTGAGAATTTTACAAAGATAAAAAAAAAAAAAAAGGAAGTACCTTGGACGCCATGAAAGTTGAGTGACACGAGTAGGATCAAAAGCAACAGAAAATATACCTTTCTTCCTTCTAAGAAATGACCCATGACATACAAAAAAATTCCAAAGATCAACACAGATCGGCTTTTGAATTCAATGCAACACAACACATTTATAGATTACAAGAACAGAGGCAGAGAAAAAGAGATTACAGTTTGTTATCGCCGGGAATCTGAACGGAAGCCTGGGAGAGACGAGGGAAAATGAGAAGGAAAGTGAGAGAAAGGGCGAGAAAACACCGAGACTCCATGGAAGCAGAATCTTGTCTTACGAATGGCTGCTAATTCTTAACAAGAGCTGGGTTAAAGAAGAAATCTGTTTTCTTCTGTAATTAATTCTAATCAAAGAGAAGACTTTGACTATTCCTCATTTGCCCGTAATCTTCTTCCCCGGTTTTCCATCGGGCGCACACGGGAACAGCGTATTCCGTCGGCCACTTTCTGCATCAACGACAACCGTTTAAATTCAATAAATAACTATTGTGATTTATTTTAATTTAATTTAAAAATATTTTTTTATTTATAAATTATTAATTTTATTTCAAAATATTCTGCTTCACATATA